GCGGGACTTAATCCCCCGTCTCTTTTGTCTGCGTGGCTGGTACCCGAGATCCTTTTGGTGGGGTCCCAGCCTCCTCGCAGGCCAGCCAGGCTGCCAGCGGCTTGGCGCCCATGGTGGGCGCTCGTGCTCAGCGCGACGCTTCCCTCGGCAGTGCCGTATCCTCCTCCCTGCTCTCATCCTCCCCCCTCCTCCTCCCTCCCCTCCCCTTCCCTTCGGGCCGTGGCCCTGACGCGCGACGGGGGCAGCAGCGCAGGCCCCGGGCGTCGAGGCCCGAGGGTCCGGAACCCGCGCGGGCCGCGCGCAGAGGGGGGGGAAAAGGGGCAGGCAGGGGGCGGGGGGGAGACTTCTGAGAAGCACCCCGCCTCTGAGAATTATGATGTTCCAACCTACTTTAGCCTTGATCGCCGAAAGGAATTTCGAGCACCAAAGAAGTACAGAAACTTGAGGGTTTTCACGTGTCGGGCCGTGGGAGACACTCGTCCGACATTGTTTCGACACTCTTTCGACACTCTTCCGGGTGCTCGAAATCATTTCTGGGATGTGGTCCTTAAGTACGATTGGAGCAACATAATCTTAGAATGTACATGCGCAGGCCGAAAGATTTTCTTCTTGAGCCCCACATGTCGAAGCGACGCGCCGATCCCCTCCGTTCTCCTCCCACCTCCTCTTGCCTCTTCTTTCATTCCTTCCCTTCATCATCCTGGGACCCCCCCCCCGTAGAATCATAGAATTGGTATGCAGATCCACGGCTCCGTGGATAGCATGATGATTCACTTGCGGTGCTCCGCGGATCCGATTTCCCCTCGGTCCCGGATGCGAATTATTAGTATTATATATATTCCTGGGTAAAAATGGATCCATCGTTTCTTCACACACAGGAAATTGGATCCGCGCAGCACAGAAAAAGTATCCACGAAACTCTCCCACACCCGAAAAGGGATCCAATTGGATCCATCGATGTTCTCATATTTTTGTTTAAGAGAAAAACAACTTCGGCCCGGGGATGTAGTCGAGCGCTTGTGATGGAGAAACCTCTCGAAAAGCTGGGCCAGTGATTCTTGGCCAACTTGCCGGAAAGCTGGCTCAGTTTCTTTAGCGCGCTCGCCCCTCCGGCGCTGACACAAAAAATTCGCCAGGCTTGTCTTCAGAAGTGTCCAGAGAGCTGGCCCAGGATCCTTAAGTGATGATTTTGTTGATCATATATTCGGCTGTACTCGGGCGATCGCAGACACGGGTCCGCGGCTCCAGGGTCGGCGGTGAGCGAGGGGGGGGAATCGCGAAGGGGCGGGCCTTCTCGGAAGGCGCGATGCCTTCTCAGGAGGCTCTGCGAGGAACGTTCTCAGAAGCACCCCTGCCTCTTAGCCTACGCGGGCCGGTGGCCTCCGCGGGGGCGCGGGGGGGGCCAGAAAGGCCGCCACCGCCGCGCCGCACGCCACGAGCGGCAGGCCGCGCCCCGGAGGCCATACTCTTTGCCTCGGGCTCGGGACCCTCGGCGTGCACCCAGACGTCCGGCGACCGTGGCGCTTTCTCGACTCCGCGGCCCCAGAGTCGGCGGCGAGCGAGGGGGGCAGTCGAGAAGGGGCGGGCGAGGGGGAAAACTGAGGAGGGGCGGGTCTTCTTAGAAGGCTCGGAAGTCCCTACGCCCTCTGACTCTGAAAAGTGTTCTGAGCCCCCCCCGAAGGCGCAAACAAAAGACTTTTCAGAAGGCGCGATGGCTTCTGCGAAGTCCCGCCGCTTTCTGATCAGGCGATCGCGAACATGGGTCAGGGGGGCGTGGATGAGCGACGGGTCCCATTTCCACGGGAAATCGCGGATCTCCGCCGCCGAACGAGGCGGCACTGGCCGCATTTCGGGGAGGGCGCCTCCCCCGATCCATGGATCTGGCGACCGCGCGCCAGATCCCTGGATTGCTAATCCATGCTTGCGCGCCCCCGATCTGAAAAGGCCTTCTCCTCAGTTCCCTCCCCTCGCGGGCCGCCCACAGACGTCTCCACCGCTTCCGCGGCGACGGCCTTCCGCACCGGACGCCTCCGGCGGAGCGGCGCAGCGCGGCCTGCAGAGAAGTGCGGGTCGAGGCGGGGTGCGGCGCGAGGCGGGGCGAGGTTGGGCGAGCGGGCCCGCTGGCGCAGGGCTCGAGCAGGCGGCCGGCTACAGCACTGCTTTGCCCCAAACTCCAAACTCGGGGGCGGCCAAGATGGGGGTGATGATTAAAGGGGGTGGATATCATGGAGAGAGCGTGATCCACCGCCGCTTTACTGTGGAAAATTGCCAACCTTTTCCTCCGGAACCCGGGGGGGGTCGCCCCCCCCCCCCTCCGAAAATCCCCCCCCTCCTGCTGGAACCCCCCCCCCCCCCTCTCCCCGGCAAAAACCTCCCTCCCCTAACCCCTCCCCCCCCCCCCCCCCTCCCGCTCGAAAACCGGAGGGGGTCACTACCGGTTCGAACCCCCCCCCCTTCCGGATCCGGAAAACCCACTACCGGTTCCCCCCCCCCTACCCTCCGGATCCGGAAAACTGGAGGGGGCCACTACCGGTTCGCACCCCCCCTTCCCCTTTCCCCCCCCCCCCTACTCACCGCCAGCAAACGACTCCCGGTCCCCACCACCGTCCGCATCACATCCCCCACTGGTGTTCCCAGCACCACTGTCCTCACCACCGCTGTCCCCACTGGTTCCACCACCGCCCCTACTGTCCCCACCAGTGGCCCCACCACTGTCGCACTGTCCCCGCTGTCCCCAGAACTGTTCCCACCACGGTTCCACTCTCCCCACTGTCTCCACGGCCCCAACCACTGCCCGACTATCCCCACTGTCCCCACTGTCCCACTGACTCCTCCGCTGTCCCACTGAGCTGTCCCACTGTTCCCACCACTGTCCCCACTGTCCCCACCACTGTCCCCACTGTACCTCTGTCCCATTGTCCCACCGCCGTCCTCGCCACCGCCTTCACCACTGTCCCCACCACCATTGTACCCTCCACTGTCCCACTGTTTCCACCTCATTCCCATTGTCCCCACACCACTGTCCCCACCACCACCGTCACCACCACTGTCCACTGTCCCCCCCTGTTCCCACCATTGTCCCCACCACTGTCCCCACCACTACCGTCCCCACCACTGTCCCACTGTCCCACTGTCCCCACCACTGTCCCGCTATCCCCTCACCACTGTCCCCACCAACACCGTCCCCACCACTGTCCGCACCCCCACTCGGTTTTCGAGGGGGGGGGGGGTTCGAACCGGTAGTGACCCCCCCCGGTTTTCGAGGGGGGGGGGGGTTCGAACCGGTAGTGCCCCCCCCCTTTTCATGATGAGCTGGGGGGGGGGGGAGGGGTTCGAACCGGTAATGACCCCCCCCCCCCGGTTTTCCGGAGGGGGGGGGGGAGGGGTTCGAACCGGTAGTAACCCCCCCCGGTTTTCCGCCAGCAGCGGTAGAACACGCTCTTTCATATCGTGGCGGTGGCCCTGATATTTCCCCTGACCTCATGACACCTTTTCTTATTTCATTACGTGCCTGGCCCGTCCCCTGGGCCGCGCACATGCCGCCGGCCATGATTTGCGCCCCCCCTCCTGGACGCCCTCCTCTTGGACGCCCCCGACAAACATGGATCTGTTCGCCGGCGCGACACAAACGTGTGCGATGCTCGTAGATCAACGGATCACTCGACGCATTGTTTCGTAGAGTCGACGAAAGAACAGTTCGGGGTACAGTCGGGGCGCTGAAGAAGGAGCCCTTGTCGGTTGGGAGGGGCTCGGTGTTCCTTGATTGTTTTACGGTTTGCCTCAGGTTGTCCTGAGGCTTTCCATGGGAAGTCGAAAGTTCATTCGTAGGAAAAAAGGGCCTCGTTCCTCATGTAGGGCTGGTCAATGCCCCGACGGTGAATCAGTTCTGCAGTCGATATCCTCCTCGACGGGCGGCGCGGCGCGGCGCGCCTCAGAGCAGCGCGCGTGGCGTCGGGTGGGAGCGGCGGCGCGGCGCGGTGGACCCGGAGCGGCGCGAGGCGCAGCAAGGGCGAGGTGCGGCGGGAGGCTGAGGGGGGCAGCGCGACGAGCGCGCACCGACGCAGAGCGAGGCGAGGCGGGGAGGAGGAGGAGGAGGAGGAGGAGGAGGAGGAGGAGGAGGAAAAGGAGGAGGAGGAGGAGGAAGAGGAAGAGGAGGAGGAGGAGGAGGAGGAGGAGGAGGAGGAGGAGGAGGAGGAGGAGGGGGAGGAAAAGGAGGAGGAGGAAAAGGAGGAGGAGGAGGAGGAGGAGAGGAGGAGGAGGAGGGGGAGGAGGAGGGGGAGGATGAGGATGGAGGAGGAGGAGGAGGAGGAGGAGGAGGAGGAGGAGGAGGAGGAGGGGGAGGAGGAGGAAGAGGAGGAGGAGGAGGAGGAGGCAGAGGAGGAGCAGGCGGTCATCAGAGGTGGCTCAGACAGCTGTGCCTCTAACGATAGTCCAGCTTCAGCGGTCGCGTGCGCGACGGACATGCGGCTCGGCATAGACTTGACGTGGCCGCTTTCAGCTACGTGTGAGGAGCGGGTGTCCGTCGTCATCCAGCTGTACGCTCCCATATTTTCTCCCCATTACCTCTTGGTTTTTGTTTACCCCTCCCATCGTGCAGGAATCCAGAGACCCCCAGCAGGTTTACTGTAAGAGAGTCTGTACGTCGACGTTCGGGCTCCACTCATCAAGGCAATCATCCGAAGAAAATATATCGCCATGGTAGCGGAGCCGTGGTCCCGGCCCTCCCAGTCTACGGGGTCGGGCTCCGCGGCTCCCGCTCCCGCCAGCGGCGCGGGGAGCCCCACCAGCCTGGGGCGGCCCGCCGGCGCGGGAGCCGCAGCAGGGCCGGCTGGGCCCAGCGGAGGCAGCGGCGACGAGTGGGAGTTCCTCGAGGTCCACAGCGGCTGGAGGAGAGTGCGTGGCGCGGTCGCTGCGCAAGTTGTTCAGGCTCAGGAGGGCCTGGGCGGCGCTGGGCCAGCACCTGAAGGATGTCACGAAGCTGCGAGCGAACCGCCGCTAAGATGGCGGAGGAGCGCACGCACGCTCTAGAGCAGCAGATGGTGGCGATGGCTCAGGAGCTGCAGAATCGCCAGCAGAGGGATAATGATCTCCCGGCCGAGGTGCAGCGTCTCGGCCGTGCGGCCGAGGCTCGACCACGGGTGGAGGGACCTGTGCTGCAGCCTCGAACTGAGTCGCTCGTGGACATTCGCACGCTGTGCAAGCCAGACGTGTTCTCGGGGGTGATCTTCAAGGCGTACTGTGGCGTTGTGAACGCTGACTTGCTGGCAGGGATGCGGCTGGCAGAGAGTGTTGACGAGGCCTCAGTCCATATCGGTGACTTCATAGAAGAGAGTATGAGGCAGGCCTCGCAGCAGCTGTATTACATCTTGCTACTCCTCTGCCGGCAGCACCCTCTGACGACGATCGTGAACGCTGGCGAGAATGAGGGCTTCCAGGCTTGGCGCAAGCTGGTCAAGTACAACGAACCGAATGCGAGGTCCCGCATCGCGGGGCAGCTGCAGAATCTCCTGAACTTCGCGTTCACGGGCGATGTCGAGGACCGGCTGGCGCTGTTCGAGCGAGAGCTCCTCAGGTGCGAGCAGAGGAGCGGCGAGGCCATCTCGGCCTCCATGAGGATCCGCATCGTCCTTCGGCAGCCCGAGGAAGGCCCTCTACGCCAGCACCTCTTGCTCAATGCGACCAGGCTGGTGGAGTGGCAGGATTCCCGACGCGAGGTCACCGACATCCGCTGTGCCCAGAGCGCCATCGCCCCGGTGCCCGTGCCCATGGATCTGAGTGCGTTCACCAAGGGCGACGGCGAGGGTAAGTCCAGGGGCGACGGCAAAGGCAAGGGCAAGTCCGGCGGCAATGGCAAGAGCAAGGGCGACAGCACGGGCAAGTCCAAGTCCGGCGGCAAGGGCAAGACCGGCAGCAAGTCGCATGGCCAGCAGCTTGGGCCCCTCTGCTGCGGCCGCGGCGGTCGCGGCCGCACCCAGCGCGAATGCCCGAGCAAGCGCAGGGGGACGTTGGCGAGCATGGGGCAGACGCTGGCTCGCATCAACGCCTCCCAGTCGACGAGCACGACTGCGCCGTCGGCGGTCAGCTCTATCTCGACGGCTGCGACTACGAGGCTGAGTCTGGCGACGGCGGTGTCCGGCGCGAGCTCTCGGCAGGTCGCAGCACTCTACCTGAACGACGCGGACGAGCAGGCCAGCTACCCGTCCGCGAACATCCACTCCCTCATCATCTACGACCCAGGGCCGGACAAGGCGGGCGCGGTCGACTCTGCGATCGGCGCGGCCTTGGGCCTGGACATGATCCACGGCAACTCAGATGCGGAGGAGGTCGAGCTCAACGGCATCTTGCGCGTGGGCATCGACTTGTGCGCGGCGGCCTCGGCGCTGCTGCGTGGCTCGTGTGCAGACTACCGGGTGCACGAGGGTGGCCAGGCGATCTCGTGCAAGACCGCCTCTGGCCACTACGTGAACGACGAGGGCGTTAGGCTCCTCGCGGGGACGTCGACGATGCCTGGGGCATCCCAGGCGCGCGCTGCCAAGTTCAAGGTGGCGGACGTCAGCAAGCCGTTGCTGAGCGTCGCGGAGATGGTCGACTTGGGCCATCGGCTCGTCTTCGACTCCGAGGGCGGGCGGGACATTAGCTACGCGCGTCGCAAGACCAGCGGAGGCGTCGTCAAGTTCTGCCGCAGGAGCAAGGTCTACGAGATGGACTTGCACGTTGACCCGCGCGCGCCGGAGGTCTGCCCGGTCGAGGCGGCAGGCCGCGAGCCTCCTCCCGAGGGCGAGGCCAGCCAGCCAGGCGCGGCTCACGAGGAGGTCGCAGAGGGCCCGCCGGCACGGCTGGCGAGGGAGCCCGCGGCGCCGACGGCGGCCGAGCGAGCCGCGCATGAGGTGCTGCGCGAGCCCTTCAGACGAAGAGCCACCAGGAGTCGGCGCTCGCGGTGGTTGGCATCGACTACGGCTACCTCGGTGAACGAGAGGGCGCCACGCCGCCGCTGATCGGGGAGGATTCGAAGCAGCGTTGGTTCCACGCGTCGGTGGTTCCATCCAAGGGGGCGCAGCATCCCTGGCCGGCGAAGTCGTGGTCCAGGAGGCTGGCATCGGCTGGCCACAAGCGCTTAATCTCCCGCTCGGACGGCGAGGCGCCGCTCGTCGCCCTGAAGACCCGCGTCGGGGCCAAGCTCAAGGAGGAGTACGGCGTCGAGACGGTGCCGGAGGAGAGCGCGGTCGGCGACTCTCAGGGCAACGGCCTTGCCGAGCACGCGGTGCGCGAGGTCAAGGCCAAGGTTTGGACGGCGCGGGCGCAGGTGGGCGACCTCCACTGCGCGAGCATTGGCGTCGAGCACCTGGTGACCCCGTGGATGGTCGAGTTCGCGGCCATGCCCATCAACCTGGGCAGGCGTGGCGCGGGCGGCCGCGCGGCTTGGGAGCTTCGGCGCGGCCGCCCCTTCAACGAGGACCTGGCTTGCTTCTCGGAGAAGGTCATGTACCTCCCACGGGGCCAGCGCAAGGCCGGGATCGATGACAAGTTCATCGCTGGGCTCTATCTGGGGCCCACGCTTCGGACGGACAAGGTCTACACTGGCACGGGGTTGGGCGCACTGCGGGCCAGGGCCTTCAAGCGGTTGACGGTCTAGCAGCGGGCGGACAAGGACCTGCTGAACAGTCTCGCGGGGAAGCCGTGGGCGCCGGTGCCGACGGACATGGCGGTGGACGAAGCACCGGTGGCCATCGAGATCCGAGCGCCGGCGCCGGCGCCGGTCGCGCCCGCGGGCGAACCTCTGGCGCCCATTCCCGAGGCTGAGGACCTCCCGCCCCGGGCTCCCCGAGTCGGGCGGCCACCGGCAGGGCCGCGGGCCGTCTACATCAGGAAGGACGTCGAAATCGCGAAGTACGGGATTTCCCCGGGCTGCCACGGCTGCGCCGCGATCCTCGACGGCGCCCGGGCGCGGGCCCACAACTCAGCAGAGCGCCGCGCTCGGATCGACCAGGCGATGCAGGGCGACGAGGATCGAGGCGAAGCAGAGGCTCGAGGGCGCCCGCGAGCGGAAGCGCCATCGCGCTGACGTCGCCGGGCCTGTCTACCAATGAGGGCGGCTCGTCCGGCAGTGGCGGCACTGGCGGCAGGTGCCGCCAGCACCTGAGGCCGCGGCGGCGGCTGACGTGGCGATGGCTCCGGCACACCGCGACCCAAGCGACGACAACATGCAGGAGGAGATCGGTGCCCTCCTGCTCTCCCTCGGCTACAGCGGGCGCAAGGCCGACGTGATGGAGGCATTCTGCCCGAATAGGCTTGTGGGCTTTGCCCCGCTCTTCGGTCTGGTCCATGGCGGCTCGTTCGACTTGAGGGTTGGCTGGGGCCTGACCGACCGCCAGCAGCAGCGACAGTGCCGGGAGCTGATTAAGCACTACGAGGTGTACTTCATCTTGGGTAGCCCTCGCTGCGCGCCGTTCTCCATGCTGAAGTAGCTGAACGAGGGCACGGAGAAGCATCGCGAGGCCGACGCCATCGGGTGCGAGCACTTGAGGTTCGCGATGGGGCTCTACACGCTGCAGGTGAAGAACGACCGCGCGTTCTTGCACGAGCGCCCCTGGAGCGCGGACAGCTGGGACCTGGACATCGTGAAGGGCGCGCTGGTTCTCCCCGGCGTCGAGGTCGGGCGGGGCGACCAGTGCGCGTTCGGCCTGGCGGTTGCGGACGCGCACGGCGACAGGCTCGCCAAGAAGCCGACAGGATGGATGAGTATCAACAAGTTGGCGTTGGAGGAGGTCTGCATGCGCTGCCCCAACGACGCCGGCATTGGCAGCAGACACGAGCACTCCACCTTCGTCGGCCGGAACATGCGCGTGGCGGAGAGGTGCCCGGTGAAGCTCCCCCGTGCCATCCCCCGTGGTCTCCGCCGGCACCTTGGGAACAAGAAGGTGCTCACGCTTTCGGCCCTGGATGTTGGGCCGAACGTGGGCGACGAGGAGATCGGCCTGGAGGACTTCGTCGGGCGGTGGCGCGACACGCTGAGGACCGAGTTCTACCGCGACCTCACTGGCCTACCGCTGGACCCCACGCTGGTGAAAGCCGCGAGGCGCCGGGAGATGGATTTCATGGCGCAGCTCGGCGCGCGGGTCTACGCGAGGGTGGAAGACTGCCAGCGCGAGCTCGGACGGAGGCCTTTCAGCGCGCGCTGGGTTGACATCGACAAGGGCGACGCCGACCGGCCGGACTACAGATCCAGGCTCATCGCGCAGGAGACCAATGCGCAGAGCACCGTCGCCGGGGACGACATCGGCGCGGTGTTCGCGGTGACCCCGCCGCTGGAGCGCCTTCGGCTCATCTGCAGCTTGGCGATGTCAAGCGACCCGTCCGAGGGTCGCGTGCTGCGCTTCCTGGGCATCTCGCGGGCACGCCCGCACTGCGAAATCAAGAGGACGGTCTGCGTCAAGCTTCCAGGGAAGGATCCGATGTCGCAGGAGGTCGGTACGTGTGGGCTCTTGCGGATGGCGCTCTACGGGACGCGCGACGCTGGCCAGGTTTTCGAGCTCGCTACCGCCGAGACGGTCATTGGTGCTGGCTGCGACCAGTCGGCCTTCTCACCTTGCGTGTACTGCCACAAGGACCTGCAGGTGAGCTTCTTCCACCACGGCGATGACTTCGTGCTCGAGGGCTCCCGGGGCGGGACGGAGTCGATCTGCGAGGCTCTGAAGACGAAGTTCATCGTGAAGGACAGGGGCGTGCTCGGGCCGGCGCCTACCGACGCGAAGGAGATCACGCGCCTCAACAGGGTAGTGCGCTGGCGAGACCGATGGGGCCAAGGGGGCGGGGCCATTGAGTACGAGGCGGATCCCAGGCGCGCGCAGATCCTGCACGCACAGCTCGGAATGGACCCCCGCACTACGAAGTCATTGAGCACGCCAGGGCTGAGCCAGAAGCTGACACCTGAGGTCGAGCGCGAGCTGAACGAGCACGAGGCGGCGGAGTACCGCAGCGCGTGCATGAGGCTGGGCTACCTGGCGCTCGACCGGCCAGAGGTGCAGTTCACGGCCAAGGAGTGCGCTCGCGGCATGCAGAAGGCGACAGAGCGACGCCTCCGCCTCCTGAAGCGTGTTGGGCGCTTCTTGATCGGGGCGCCGCGGGCCATCTGGAGGTGGGGCCGACAGCGGGCGCCCACGGTGATGGACATCTAGTCGGACACTGACTGGGCAGGCTGCCCGATCACGCGGAGGGGTGCCAGTTCAGATGTGATCAAGCATGGGCAGCCCCTGATCGCGACGGCATCGACGACTCAGATCCCCATATCCATGAGCTCGGGGAGGCTGAGTTCTACGGCTGTGTGCGAGCGGCCAGCAGGCCCATCGGCATGCAGTCGCTGTGCCGGGGCCTAGGCAGGGAAGCGAGCCTTCGCATTTGGAGCGGCTCGGCGGCTGCTCTTGGCATCATGCAACGACGGGGCTGCGGCAAAGTCCGACGTCTCGTGACGCCGACGCTGCGGGTGCAGAAGGCACTCAAGGACGGACGGTTTCAACGGGTTAAGGTCCCCGGGAAGTCAAACCCGGCGGACCTGGGGACGAAGTTCCTCGACCAGGTGGCGATGCTCCGAGGGCTGAAGATGATGAGTGTCGAGCTCTCGGAAGCGCCTCTCTCGAGTGCCCTTCAGGCGAATGTCTGAACCAGAGGCGCGAGCGGCCATTTTTGCCTGGCCATTTTGGCCTGCAGCCTTTCGCCCCGCGCTGTCATTGGCTTGGACGGGCTGCGGTCGTCAGCGCGGTGATGGCGTGTTCTTGTGATTGCAGTGCTCGACCAACGTCGTCGTGGTCCAGAGCGCTGTGTATTGTTCATGAGTTTCGGAGCTTTTTCAGGATTCGAGCATCGTGCCTGGCTGAGGAGCTGGGCGGCGCGAAGGGGGCTGCAGGAACCCAGAGACCCCCAGCAGGTTTACTGTAAGAGAGTCTGTGCGTCGACGTTCGGGCTCAACTCATCAAGGCAAGCATCCGAAGAAAAGATCTCGCCACATCGGCGTTGGTAAGAGGGAGTTGTCGAGTGCGCCAGCAGCATTAGCAGCATACCCGTCCGCAGGTCTAAGGTTCAAGGAGGACGAGGAAAAGGAAGGCAGGAAGGAAGACGGAAGGAAGCAAGGAAGGGGAAACGAGCGAACGAGGAGGAGGAGGAGGAGGAGGGGCAGAGGTGCATCGGCAGCTGATGTAGCTCTTGCCATACACCCCGCGTGGGCCTCCTGCCGCTCACCGGTCTTCCCCGCCCCCCCCTCCCCAGCCAGGCATGGTGGCTTCGCGGAGCAACCAGTTCTTGACGCAGACGGAGCAGGAGCCGTTGGGTGGGTCCGCCGAGGTTTCGCCACGTTCCCGCCCGTGGGCGCCTCGTGGGCGCACCTTGCCCTCGGCGGGTAATTTTGCGCACGCAGCATGGTTCACACTGTATAGATAACACCGCCCAGCTTGCGCAACACAACTCACAACACATAGGTCACATCGCAGAACTTACACTACATAACGCAAGCAACGCTGCTTACACAGCGTAGCTTTCGATACAGTCGACCTTTCATCATCTACACCGCATGCTTCACATCGCGTATCTTACCCAGCATGCCCTTCACCTCCACAGTGCAATCACTCATTGGTTTGGGCCCGCGATGGCTGACATAGTGCGACAAACTTCTGGAGGGGCAAGACTGGCCGATATGGCTGGCCGTCAATATTTTTTTTTTGGGGGGGGGGACCGTCCTTCACAAGGCCCCCTAGTTGCATTCTTTTTTTCTACCCTCCTCCTCCTCCGCCGAGGGAGGGGGGAGCGGGGGAAGAGCAAGGGAAGAGGGAGGAGACTGAGCTTCGGAGGAGGACGAGGCCCAGGCGGAGGACGGAGGAACGGAGGGACGAGGGAGGGGCGCGAAGGGCGCTGGAGGAAAGGGCGAGGAAGTACGCGACAGAAATCAGAGTGAGGGGGCCGAACGGTCATTCATTGTCCCTGGGTGCGTGGCTAAAGTGAGAATCCGTGGTGGGGATCCTGTTTGTTGCGCTATTGTTATTGCTGCTGCTGGTGTTGTTGTTGGTGGTGGTGTTGTTGTTGCTGTTGTTGCTGTTGTTGTTATTGTTGTAGTTTGTTGTTGTCGTCCCTCCCGCGACCCACCCCGCGACCCACCCGCGACCTTCCCCGCGACCCACCCGCGATCCACCCGCGACCCACCCCGCGACACACCCGCGACACACCCGCGACCCACCCGCGACCCACCCGCGACCCACCCGCGACCCGCCCGCGACCCGCCGGCCCGCGACCCACCCGCGACCCCCCGTCGACCCACCCGCGACCCAACCCGTGACACACCCACATTGTTTTGACAAAAAATGGCGCCTGCGGCGGGCTCGCTTTATAACCTGAAAACTTTTGCGCCTGCGGCGGGCTTCTTCAGAGCTTCGCAGACTGCCGATGTCCCTGGTTGCGTCGCTAAAGTAAGAATCCGTGGTGAGGAGTATGCTTGTTGCGGTGTTGTTGTTTGTTGTCGTCGTCCCACCCGCGACCGCGACCCACCCGCGACCCACCCGCGACCCACCCCGCGACCCACCCGCGACCCACCCCGCGACCCACCCGCGACCCACCCGCGACCCACCCCGCGACCCGCCTGCGACCCACCCGCGACCCACCCGCGACCCACCCGCGACCCACCCGTGACCGTGACCCGGCCCGCGACCCACCCGCGACCCACCGTCGACCAACCTGCGACCCAACCCGTGACCCACCCACATTGCTTCAACAAACAAATCGTTTTTTGCGGCGGGCTCGCTTTATAGCTTGAAAACTTCTGCGCCTGCGGCGGGCTTCTTCAGAGCCTCGCAGACTGCCGACATACCCGCTGCCCCCTCACTCTTATCCGCAACTGCGGGGTGCTACGCATTTGCGGATTCATCGGATTTGCGTTGAACCCCCTTGGCGGCACCTTCAGCGCCGCCGCTGGCGCCCTTCGCGCGCCACGACGGGGGGCCCAGCGCAGATTCAAGAAGCCCGCGCGGATCTTCGACGGTTTCTGTTTGCGTTGTGGAGTCTTCCCCCCCAGAGGGAGACGGATGGCGGGAGGGGAGCGTGAAGGAAGGTTCGGCCGTGGACGGGACTCCGCGGCCGATGCCTCCAGGAGGCGGGGAGGGAAGGAAGGAGGAGCAGGAAGAGGAGGGGGGAATGTGATGGGGAGGCGGAGGGGGGGAGGGGCAGGACTCCGGAGGAATTTGGGGGACGGGCTGGACGAAGCATCATGATGATGGGCGTGATGAAGAGTACGAGAAGGATGGCAAAGAGTGAAATGAAAAGAAGGGGGAGGAGCGGGAGGCGCTTGGAGGAAGAGAACGGGAACGACGAGGAGGAACAGGAGGAAAAGGAACACGGCGAATAACGAAATCATGTGGACGATGAGGAGGGAAGTAAGGAGGATGAGGGCGAAGGCGAGGACGGCCGGAGGCTGAGAAGGGGGAGGGAGGCAGTGGGAGGAGAGGGATGGAGGAGGAGGGAGTAAGATGAGGTCCGTAGCCATGTTGGCTCAAGTTCCATCTTCTCGAGGTGGTACAGTGACCAACGATTGTGAGCCAGCAAGTAGGAAGGTGGCTTTGCCTCGCTTGCTGGCGCTTTCTCGCTGGGCCGCCCGCCCCAAGTCTTCGATTTTGTGAGCTCCTGCTGGAGCATACTCCCCTCTGCCTCTGTGTGAGCCTTGTCAATGCCTGAACATGCGCGCAGGGCCAGAAGTGACAGGTCTCCTGCCCAAAAGTCTGCCAAGATGGAGGAGCCGACAGGTGAGGAAATTGAGGCTCACGCGATGCTTGGAGACAGTCTTCCTTCTACTCCTGGTGTTCCCTCTGATGCCAAAGATCCTTGGCAGGCGGCTGACCCATGGAAGGGAAGGGGCAAAGATCCTGCTGCGCTCCCTGCCCCGCCTACTCCACCCTCGCGCGGCAGGCCTGCCAAGCGTGAGGAATCTATGTCGCAGGCAACCCCTCCTTCCAATCCAGTCGACGTCGAGGAGCTGCTGGCTGCCTTCAAGGCGGAACTCGTCACCACTGTCGATGCCAAGTTCGATGTTGCTCGTATTGCCATGGTCGCCGACATCACTACTCACACGTCCAATCTCGTCCGAGCTGTTGCCGCTAAACAGGAGCAAGTCAACATTCAGGTACAAGGTGAACTTCATGCCCTGCGCGCTGCACAAGAAGCCATGGAGAAATCGCAATAGGAGATGCGTACACAGATTGAGGCGATTCGCAAGGAGCTGTACATTGCGGAGCGGGCCATTCCCAGCAAATATTATGCGGACCTCGACGTTTGGGAAAGAGACCCTGACCCATCGATCATGATCGCCATACTCTCTGCCCTCGCCTCTGCTGCTGATGTCGCGGCTGTGCTCGCACCGTGGCTCGAGGAGGTAGACATCAAGGAGAATCAGTGGAAGCTCGTTGAAAGCGCCCCCAACAGACGATATACGACCCAGATGGCTGGCGATACGGGGGCTGCTCAACGAAAGGTACCTGCTACTCGGAGCGCCCTTCGTAATCAAGCTGGATATTGGAAAGACTGTAATGTATCGGCAACGGAGGGTGGTCGTGCCAGAATCTACGCCGGTCACGATTAGTCTCCCAAGCAAACACGCACTGAAATTCAAACAACAAGGCTGGCAAACATTGCGAAAAACATTCATCCCCATGCGAGAATCAAGCACAATAGGACCAAGGGCACTGTCTACTTCGAGGCTTCGAGAGTGTTCCGATGATCACGGTCCAACCTCGTGACATAATGGAGGCACGTCCGAGTCCTCTCTGGAACTATGGGTTTGTCCATGCGAGGAAGGTGGACCAGAAAACGGTGCAGGACGGTTTCGTTGCTCATTTCTATGCGATGGGAGACCAAGTCCAGTGGCGTATTTAGTCGTACCACGAATGTATGGCAAGACATCCCCAGCAACATTAACAGGGAAAGTGTGATCGGGACTTGGAAGACACCTGCTCTCCTGCATCATCAGCCTGACATAAGAAAGAGGAAGTGTGACACATTTCGTGGGTTTTCCCGTGGCCAAGCTATTTTTTCTCTGCAGGAGGTTCATGGCTCTCAGGCAGAACTTGACTTTCAACGCTATCAACGCATGCTACGGTATGGCGGCATAGATTCCTTTCCGCGCTGCTGGTGGCGTGGTCCTGATTAT